TTCAGTTCAATAATTTCAAAGGAACTGATTGTCCTTGCTCATTAAGATCAGGATTATGTTCTTTTATAAGGACAGCTTCAGCGATTTTTCGTTTTTGTTCCCAAGCATAGTGTTCGGCTAATATTTGGAAGTTACTTTCGTTGACATGTTCATGATGTGTTGTTTCGCTGTGTTTGTAGATTGTTGATTTCTTATCTCTGGTTCCGTGATCCTGGACGCGTTCTTCAATTCGTCTGGCGGTCTCGCCGATGTATGTGGCTGAGCATTGATCATCAGGGCACGTGGCTTTGTATATGACGTTATGCTTGTGTTGAAGCCGTGGTTTATCTTTGGTCGGGAACTTAGAGCCCAGCTTTTTAGCATTATACACACAGTTGATGTTGACATTTTCTGATACGTATTTCGGTACCATATGTTTGAGTCGTTTGATCAGGTTTGTACCAATTTGGCCTACAAAAGGTAGTGAGATGTATAAGGTCTTCTGCGTCTCTGTGTTATCTGGAAGTTGCAGTGGATCACGAGTTGTTTGTTGATTTTGTACTTGTTTGATGGTTTTCTTGATAACTTTGTTAGGGAAACCATTAATTTCTTTGAAGGTTGTTTTTAGGTGTTCGAGTTCTTTGTCCAATAGTTGTTGTTCAGAGCAGACTGTAAAGGCTCTATTAACCAGACCTTTAAGAGTGGCTCGTTTCCATGAATTGGGAGCTGGTGAGTCCCAGTGTATGTACAGGTCCGTGTTTGTTGTCTTCCGATGGACGGTGGTTTCGAATTTATTATCTTGGTCTTTCCATGTAATCATCGTGTCAAGAAACGTGATACTGTTGTTGTTGGCATATCTGCATATGTTGTTGAAATATCTGCATTAAGAAACTTCTTGTTATTCTCTTTGTCTATAAAATATACAGCGCATTTTCAAACAGTGATAATTCCAGTTTTCGACTATTTACTCTAAAACTAACAGTCGGATCATCTTGAAATTTTTAGAATTTGTATATCTCATAAAACTACATAAGGGCTGTGAATTTGGTTGGAAAAACTCGGGCAGAAATAAAGATATGAACGGGGCTCAAAAATGAGCTCAAAATATGACCTACATAGAATAAACAGCCGCATATGAATAAATATACAACCGATTGACATGATCTCGCGATATGTTGTACATCCATTTGTCAATATTAGTGTGTGTAAATTTCAGTTCTATACCTTTCAAATCAAAAGAATTACAATATTTTTACTGGAGATGAGTAATAGCTAAAATTGTGCGGCCTGTAAAGA